GTGGTAACAAAGGAAACAGAATAGCAGCACTGAAAGTCAATACTGTTTGATGCATTTATAGATGACATCAATGAAGCTTCAAAAATATCAAATGGTTTCATGCACCTTAATACACGTGTAATGGCTTCTGCTGTGTTATTGCAACCTTTTAATATTTTTTCAGCCATTATAAGACCTTTGCATTGTTTATTGCATTGTAAAAGTTACATTTAAAACTGTGTCCTCTTTTTTCAGAAACAGTTTATGTGTTGAATAAGTCACAAAATTCACATTTTTCACTTGGATGATTTTTCTTGGCAATGCAGATTAGCGTTCTGCATACCTACGCAATTGGTTTAGCTTAACTGCTGGCATTATGAATGGGGGTAGGGGTCGAGGACCATCCAAAAAGCTAACTGTGCCCCATCAGCTATATTCCTTTTACATATTTATATGTAAAATCCAGTCGTACAGTTCGGTAATTAAGAAGTGAAACACCCACATTGCTGTTAATTTATTGTAATAACAACCAAGCTCATGTTAATGATTCTGTGAATAGCACCTTAGTGCATCTGCAGTAAACACTTTAGTATGACCAAGGAGGACACTGATTTTGGAGCAAATGGGCCTATGCAAGTCAGACTTTCACAAGTACCCCTCACTTTTCTTAAGAACTGAAAAAATACCATTCACCAGCTTATGCAGTTTCTTTTAAAGCACTTGAAAATTTAAAAACAAATGTGCAAGTGTGCATGAATACTTTCCTATGGAAACCATTTCCTGATAAACAGGAAACGTGAACTGGTAAAAGGTTATGCAGTGTTCAGTTAACTAAATTTAACTATTCTCTGCAAATTTCGATATTCTGTCTAACAAATACAGGTCTGCACGGGTCTTGCAGCAATGCAGTCGTGAGTGGATTGCCTAAGTTTTTTCATCCTTTTAAAAGGGAAGAGAAGCTTCACCTCAAAATGGTGAGTGGCAAGATGATCCTTAAAGTTTAATCCGTGAAGGAATCTCTTAAATTTTGCGTGACTTACAGGACTTATCTCTTTGATCAGGTTAGAACATGTTGGCATGAACAGTGTGATTAGATTAGAGCTTAAGAACAGGGATGGCAGGGAAAAGGAGGCCGGTAACCACATCAGAGGCTAAAAGGAGACTGGATCTGAGAGTATTTTTAAAAATGCTCTCAAACCTCTGATCATTTACAAGAGTTCCTGACGAAACGCATTAGAACTTCACGAACGTCAGATTGGCTCATGTTGTAAAAGTAGAGTCTCAAAATGACGCTACCATGTCCTTGTTTAAGTAACTCATCAAAGGGTACCTTTGATTTAATCAAAGGAATCCAATTGTCATGAGAGCAGAGCCAAGATCTGCGTCCTGATCTTCTGCTCTGATACCGAGCTGAGTGAAGGAGATATATATATATATAGAACTTTTCCACCAATGGGTTGCTGTTGCCAGTGCTTAACCTAGAAAAAGCTCCACTTATTTCCACCTTTAAAAAGACTGATGCTGGTGCCAAAAAAGCTGACATCAGCACAGCTCCAAACAATTGCTGCCACCAAAGTTGGAATCACTGCTCTCAGTGGCAGTGTGAGGGCCATGGTGGAAAATTCAGGGCTAATTTTAATAAAACATGAGCCAAAGCAACTTCTGTTAAAATGTCCAGCTTTCACAATGTAACATTCAGTTCCCTGGCATATCTGGTTATCAAAGACACCAAAGCAGAACTGTTATTTCTCGCACCAGCTTCAACACTGTGATGACGGAAAAGAGGCAATCAGGACAGACAGATATGTAACACCAAGCGATGCTGCAGTGAGCTTGCAAACAGTATCTCCTTTCTCTGACCAAGAGACCAAGATGTAAATGATAGCAGAGATAGGCCTGAACTGCTAAAGTCTCACCTGACTATTAAGCATGCTCTGTTGTTTGAGACGCAGATTCTCGGGGGTGTCGGTCACTATGGTGAAGGAGGTTTTGGGGTAATGCCTGAAAAAAAAACCAGAAGGGAATAAATTAGATAAATGAAGAGTCACATCATGCATTCATCCACCCATCTATCCAGTTAAACAGCAAGACCATGATTAGATTGATTGGTGTTAACCAAAGTCCTACAGCATAACAGCAATCTTCTATGAAATCCAGCCCAACAATATGATTGGCTGATAGAGTTTTTCCATACATTTTAGTTCAGGTTTTGCTGAATGTCTTCTTTATGCTTGGCTGCTTTGTTTTTTGCTATATTTGATTTTCAGGAGAACCAAACTGTTGTCAGACTGAATTGAATAAACTGATTAATTTGTTCATTCTGCAAATAATTTGTGCCTTATAATATTATGTAAAGAGCACAATAGATGAACCCGGGTTGCTGTTTAATAACAGTCGGACAGCAAATTTCTAATCTCACGTCAATCTTTAGGAATGACTGGAATCACATGATTCAATCTGTCTGCTCACACTTCTCTTTTCCATCACTTCCACATGCTGTCTGCAGCTTCTCCTGCTCAACTGCTTCAGAATTTAACTTCTGCTCATGTGGTAGATTTGTTAATGATGAAACAACCAAACCTGTTCACAGATAATAGAAAAAAAGGCCGTAGTAAATAATTCCTGTAATGCTACGTATTATAATTTTGTGGCTATAGTTGTGTAATGAACAAATTTTGATTGACGCTAATGTTACTTAATAACAAGCAGTAACCTAAAGGAGCTGAAAAAGTGAAACGTCAAAAACTGTAGTGTCTCTAAAGGCCATTTTAGGCTGGCTCCAAAAGTGACTCCCATGTTAAAATGTCCAAATTCAGCAATAAACTTACAATATTTGCCTTTTATGATTACTCTACAGTGGATTTTTTCCCCAAGAAATGTCTCATTTGGATTTTGTTGAGGCCTAAAGTAGCTGAGCCCTTTGACTGACAGGTGTGCCAACCCCTAGCCCATAGCCGATATTGTAGGCCTCACCTCCAGTAATCGGCATTACTGAACTGTACTTCTGGACCTCGTGTGTTAATGCAAACTCATAATATCTGACTTATAATATGGCATGCTGCAAAGCACAGCCTGTCCAAGAAATCTGTGCTTCAAATTCAATGAATGAAATTCTATAATTTATTAGTCAGTTACTTGACACTAGTTAGCACACACAGTGACTGTGTGAATCACCTCTACAGTGTAAGGATGCAGCTTTCTGAACAAGCTTGCTAGCGTTTCCTCATAACTTAGCACTTGACTCTTTCATCCAAATAAGGCTGGCTCAAAAATAAGCAAGCAAACAAACAAAAAAACCACCACGTCTACGTCTGAAATGCTAATGCTGAGGCTTCAGAGGAAAGGTAACCACATCTTTTATATTTTAGATACGGTTTTGTTTCTTACAAATGTACTGCGAGCTCTTAACAAAGAGTCAGATGCTATCCAGCTAATTTAAGTGTTTGTTTTAGTCATCATGGTGGTGCATGCTGTGAACACTCACATAGTGCAGTAAGGTTTCTTCTCAAAGCCTTTGTAGTTCGTCATGCTCAAGGCCATCTTGCAGACCTCACAGCTGAAACAACCTTTGTGCCAATACTAGGAAAAAAGAGAAGAAATAAAGTCTGAAGTATTAGACTTAGAAGAAAATGCATTTCCATCGACGCAAATTTAGATCTGTATTAACCTTTTTTGACAGAACACTGTGGAAATCTTGTTCACTCTTACTGGCTGATTGAATTAAATGGTTTTTCATTTGAAAAAATAAAACTTTTTTCTCTCTCTTTCTCTCTCTGAGCGGGGAAATCCCTTGACTCCTCTACATAAGGCCACAGCTGTCCTACTAATCTGTTTCTACTTCTCCCATCGCTTCACTAAAAGATTTCCAATAAGAAATGGTTCCAATGGAAAATGACTGTGAGAAATAATGCTGTTAAACTAGGTGCATTTTTAAACCTATGCACTATGCATATAAACTTTCCCATAAATATATTTTTTGCATTATTAAATAAAAGTTCTGCAGGAAGCCATTTTTCCAAAAAGAAATCAGGAATTGATAACATCTCTGTAACTCATGTCACTTTGCTTTGATTAAGTCCTTAAATTGATTAGATTATCTTGATTATAAATAATATTCATCTGATTCCACTAAAATGATCAGAGTAGGCTACATCTATTTGAGAAACCACATATACATAGATTATTACTGATTATGTAAGATATAAATTTTTTAACATTTGGAGATTTCTAGTTGATTTTTATGTGTATTATCTGGACTTCCATTTTGCATGTTTTTTTTGGCTTGGTTGTGACTGTACAAAATATGCACCCAGTTAAAGCATCACATGAGATATGACTGCATAAAAATATTATTAAAACTGTAGAATAAAAAAGAACTTTTGCAAGTGGACAAAACTAATTTAAATTTAAAAATATCTATAATAAAATTGACAGTATAAGTTAGTCTTGAAACTCACCTGATAAATCTTTGCATACATTAGAGTAAATTACATTAAGGTCAGTGGATGGGCTTAAACTTGTTTCACCTTACCTTATCAAGGCAGTTTATTTTTTCTGTTGGGTAAACTGGTTTATTGCATCTCCCACAGGGCGGATTCATGATTGCAGAAAAAACAAGTTTACTAGTCCAAAAGTCCAAAAGTTCAGGAGTAAAGGACCTGTAATGGGCAGCTGGTACTCGAACCGTCCTCCCGCTTTCTCGCAGGCATTTCAGTTAATATGACCACAAGGCGAGGAGGAGTCAACTGAGCAGCACGGAGACCTCATGTTGCCTTTACGGGTCGTCGGACATAGCAATTAACTTCGGTGTTTAAGTAATTAATACGAGATGGTCGTCAAATGTGATTCCAAATGATATTTTTAGTAACTTAAAACGAATTAACAACAACATTGCGCATCATTCAGCGGCCTCTTTAGCTTGTCCAAATATGTTTCGTAAATTACAGGGTTTTCGCATGCCATGAAGGCAGCATCAGCAGCGTTGAGGAGAAGTGAGGTTGATGACCTTAAAAGGAGTAACAACATAGACGAATCCAAATGTACTGTAATAACGCTTTTAAATAAATAAGGCCGACTCTAAACATAAATTTATCGCGGTAAGCTCTAAATATCTACATTTATACAACAACGGGGTTACAACTTTTTATTAAAAAAAACATAAACAGCACTAACACAAAAGTTTAACCAGTAAAGAAAACAAAGAATGATTCTTTCTATTGATGACGTGAATGATAAATAGATATCTCCAACTGCTACGTGGGGACATGATAATATCCTGTACTGCGGTTCGACTTTGTTTATTTGACGCCCTCTGCTGGAAACAAGCTCGATTACAACCAGGTCTGCCATTTTGTTTACATTGTTAACGTTAGCGGAAAGCTTCGGACTAAACAAACCTGTGTATTATAATATAGTTGGGATTTATGAGTAAATGCAAGAAACAACTACTATAGCACATCCAGCGTGTCAGTACTGAACATGTGGTATATTCATATAGCCAAAACTTGGTGGGTTTGTACATCGGGGGTATAGCTCAGTGGTAGAGCATTTGACTGCAGATCAAGAGGTCCCCGGTTCAAATCCGGGTGCCCCCTCTTTTCTTTCCTTGGTGACTTTTTGTCGTTGCGTTCGTATAAATAAATGTAATAGAAAACTTCACCGATTGCTTAGCGATATATGAAGTTTATTCCTTACTTAACGAACATAATCTCTACGAGTAGCCGTATGTCTTTTTGTCGCTTTTATGCTTCCCACCGCTTCTTAAAATACTATATTCCACCTTATTTAAAAGAAATTCTTCAGAGGGTTTTACCACTAAATTAATTACATGTCCCAATGTGTACTGTTACTTTACTTTTTGATTTTGTCACCATTAGTTGTGTGGAAAATCTCTTTTCTTATTAATCTGCCAAGTTTACAAGTATTTATAGACGTTGCAAGCGGTTAATATTCCTGTATGTTAGCAAAACTATCGGAATATCTGTCTCTGCTCGGTACACACCTTCATTTTTAAGCTCAATATAATAAATGATCACCGTGGCTGCGCTTGTCATGTGAAATTTCGTGTTGTGTTATGGCGCCATCCTGTGGCAATGCTGTGCACAGCCCTAAATACCTGACATTTTTGCAATTTTTAACCTATCATGGGACTTCAGCAAGGAAGGAGATACATTTCCATCCATCCCAGCTGTCTCAGGGCGAGAGATGCATTTGCTGTAAAATAAATTTGCATAAAAAATGAATTCCATACATGCAGTCATTTTCAGTTGTTATCACAGCAGTGCTTAGGATATAATGTAAATTTATTTTTAAAAATTAGATGCACATGAAGTATTAATGCCCACATAAGGTATTTCTCTAATACTATCTTTAATGCTGTTTCCTTCTATTTTAAGGCTCATTCATTTAGTTATAAAAATTGAAAACCATCTAAATAGATTTGTTAATCACTCACCAGACTATGACCTTGAGATCAAAATCCAGACTCGTCACCAGCTTTTATTAGAAGACATTTAAACAGAAAGGTTCAAAGAAAACCCTCATAACTTCACGTCTCTAAAATTCATCCACAACATACGTCCTTATAATCACTATCAGCTATAAAGCTAAATATCTGTCGTAGTGAAGTCCACATAGATATAACATTTTATGAACTCATCGTTGCTCGCGTAGTTTCATGAAACAAAAGTGACTCCATAAAATGGATAAAAACAAAAAAACACAGAGTAAAGTTGAGTGGTACATTGATTTGCAGTATGAAGGCTAGTTTAATTCATTCCCTGACAGGCCCTTGCATCGTTGGCTTTTGGACATTTGCATCTCATCATTTCTGTACTGCTGTCTTCCTCTCAAACCCTCCAACCCTTAGATAATATGGCTAATCCCCTGTGTGATGGCAAACAGCAAAAGACACAGAGAAAGCTGGCAAGAGCTACAAGAGCAGTTACAGTAAACACTGTCCAGCCTCAAAGGTTGGAGTAAGGACATCGTGTGTTGATGGTCAGCCTGAATGTCCATATTCATCCTCCTGTAGTACCACAGTTTTCCTCAAGATGGTGTCCTCTCTTCCACTGATTGAGTCCTGCAAGTCCTAGACCCTTAGCAGCAGTGCTCAGCTTCAATGAAACCTTCCTTTTCATGGCCCCCGAGCTCGACTTCAGCATAACTGGAGTGACAGCCCTGATTGCGGAACTTCATAGAGGGCCAGTAGTTATTGGTGCGTCGCTGCAGACAGAGAAACAGTAGTAGGTAAAGACCACATAGCAGGTGTTACGGATTCAAATATTGAGGATGGATACAGGAGGAAAACCAAAAATAACCACACTGGTCCGGCCGGGTCAAGTCAAACGATGATTTAATGAACACACGCGTGGGAGATGGACACCATACAGCAGACAGCATCAAATCTCATTACAGACTCCACACACTCATTGTTTTATGAAAATCAGGGTATTCGAACGCCCCCTCATGCGTACAGGTGGTACAATACAGTCAATATTGACAACTTTAGACACAGCAAGAAAAACATTCTCTTCGTCTCGAGGACAGACACTGGCTCCCACGCCTCTCCTTAGAGCGAACTGTCCCCTACGGAGACACAACATTACAGCTGCAAGGTTTTGCAAATTATCAAGTTGACCTGTATATAATACGCTGAATCAGGGATAGAATATTAAATGAATGTTGGTTTAATGAACTACCACTACTTAAAAACTTAATAAAAAGATATATCTAAATAAAAATCACAAAGAATCACATGATATCAGTGTTATGTAAGCGCGTGCAACCTCCTGGGCCCAAAGTCATCCCACACCATGGATCAGCCAGTCATAACGCTGACTGAAGTTTTTGACCTTTATTAACTCGGGCACAACTCTATAATGGGCAACAAACTGCCATATGTATATGGTGATCATGTTTACACCTGCAATGAGAGATCATATAATTATTCTGACACCTGTAAGTAGAAGATTAACACCAGGTTATAGCAATCACTGTAATACAAATGTTAAATGTAATGTCAATAGCTTCAATCAATGTTTAATGCAATGCTTATTAAATGATTCTGATATAATAATGATGCTACTGCTAAAAAATAAAAGTAAAACACCCCTTTTTACCCGACACAGGCAAATGGGAAGATGCGGGCTTCAACCATAGACGGCATAAAAGATGAATGTAGCCACTGCGATGGGCCTATTGCACATCCATAAATCCCCTAAACTTTACTGCAAGTGCTTTTATGAATTTTAAAGGTGAGTGTTTTCAAGTCAACAGTGGGTTTTACTGTGAAGCCACAAACTCATTGGCCCATTGGAGCTTAAAGATCATCAGGAGAGTGTTTCCAGTGTTCAGGGCTGTTTTGTCACAGACTTCTGCAAGTCTTTTTGCAGACACATGAACATCACCCACTTCTCATTCATCAGGTGAATCTGTCATTTCATTGACCTGTGAAATAAACTGGTCACCCAGTGACAGAGTATGCATGCTTACACGTTTCACCTGTCTGAAGTCTGGTAGTTATGTAGACATTATAAAAGATGGACATAAGTTCCAGGTTTGAAAAGTGAAGCAATGCAGAAGTCTACATTCCTTTTAATACCAGCATCAATGATGTATTTCAATAGTGGCTTAAAACAGCTTCAATGTGCATTACCACCACCTTCTGACCATAGCAGTATATCACAGCCCACTAGGTCAAAGTCTATATTTTAAAAGAAAATTAAAGTCTGTGACCATCCCTACTGCAGAGGGAATGAGAGCTGGATGTTGTTTTTCTGACCTGCATGAGGTAGAATGGTGGAGCCACCGTGGGATGTGTGTTGATGTAGTAAACAGCCAGTAAGGTGAGAGCTACAAGCAGAACTAGAGCAGCCACAACGCCTGCGATGATGGCCGTGTTCTCTGTCATCCCGTTGTTTGGAGGGCTCGTCTGTATATCTGAAAGGAAGGAAGATTGTTGATCCTGTTAAAGCATTTCTAAATATAGAAATGTCTAGGTAGCTAACTATGGATTTTACTTTGGAAAACTCTGTGGCCAACTTCCTAAAACTAAGTGGGGACGATTTTCTTTTTCAAATTTGGAATATTTTAATTCATAGTGCCCGTCTGTTAAGAGGCAGAGGGATTTTTATGTTCACATATGTGTGAATGTGTACATTTTTGCATATGTATGTGCATATTTGCATGTACACATATTTTTTACAAACATATATGGATGTCTTACAATGTTTTCTATAATGTTTTCATCTTATCTATTTTAATTATTTTTATTATATTATCCCTCTGTTCAGCACTTTGGCTGACACTTAATGTCTTTTTGATGTGCTATATAAATAAAGATGGCTTTACTTGACTTGACTTGACATGAGTAAAGTAAAAATGATTTGTCCTTTATTTACCACATTATATTTAAGCCTTTGAATACCTTCTGGATTCTTATATGAAGCTTTTAATTACTATAAGTTTATAAATGAACTGACATTAAATTAACATAACTCCTAGAAGCAGAAAGTGATGCGTGGATTGAAAAAACAAGAAGAAAAAAAAGATATTCATGTTCACTTGTTTGTATTTACAGTAAATCTCCCCAAAATCTGTATACACAGAAAATCAACAGGAAAACATTAAAAAACAATCATCAGTCTCTTCCCAAAGTCCACATGGAAAAACAAATATTTAACTACTTTACTGTTGGAC